ACATTTGTGCTATTTAGTTATTTAAATTCAGTATATATTTTCATTATAGATTATGATAATTAAACCATTGTACAGACTTTTGCTGGACTGCAAATGCCTACATTTAACCTATTTTTTTTTTTAGCTAGACTCTGGCACCATATTACTATGAGCATGAAAAAAAAAAAAAAGAAAAATGACATACTTTAGACCCACTATATATATATAGAAGACAACAGGGTATTAGAGTAGGAAGTTATGTGCTTACTAATTAAAAACTGTTGATTGGTAAAGGGTGTTTTACACACTTACTGGTTGATGTTTGTGCAGTGAAGGTATACTCGAAGTTTGCTTCTGTCTGGACCTTTTACACTTGCCATTAACACATTGGTGCCCACCAGTTTCTTGAACAGAAGAGAGAGCCAGTAATCCTAGTTGTGGTGGTTGGGGAGGGGAGGGACAAAAATAGATCTTTCCTTATTTCTTTAATAAAAATAGTGTCAAGCACATAGTTACCCTACAAAGATTGTGACTGTTATCTTAGAGGTATTTTAAAAGGTTCATCTTTTTGTCTGGGCTACCACCTTGACTCTGAGGGCCATATCTTGTTTGCTGCTTTTTATCACTGAAGGACGATGTTTCCACAATTCAGAGGTCTATGCCTGCCAGGAGATAATCTCAAGAATACAACTCATTGCTCAGAGACAGTTTAAATGTTCTTTGTTGTCTGTCATCCAGGAATTCAAAGCAAAGCTCAAAGCAAAACTTTTAGATATGCACACACACACACACTCAGGTACACACAAGTTTTTGAAATAAAACTTCTATCTGTTTAAGAAACTAAAACAATTTCCTCTAAAACCTTATAACTCACCCCTGCCAATAAAGTAATGCTTTAGGCAATGAATATCACTAGCTATCAAGATCAAAAAAACACAGACAGCTAGACATTATGCCTTTTGATGGAAGCATACAATATCACCTATGAAGAATTCTTGCAAAACAAAACATACAAGCAAAAATGAAGCCTCTAGGTCTAAATACCAGTTTACAGGAAATGCAGGGGACAGAGAAACATGCTAAATGATACCACAGAAATAAATTTAGCAAAATCCAGAATGTGGGAAACACTATGAAACAAATTACCTGATTTCTTTAATAAATTCCCAAGGACCAAAAAAGAGAGGGAAGGAGAACTTAAAGATGAACAGACTTAAGAGACATATCAAATGCAACATATGGACCTTGTTTGGATTCTGATATGAATAAACCAACTATTAAAAACATCTGCTAAATAAAATTTTTGAAAAAGAGTAAAACAGTAAAAAAAAAAACATTTGTGACAATAAGGAAGATGTGAAGTATTGACTAATTATTTAATGATATTGAGGAATTAATCCTCAGTATTTTAAGTATCATAATTATATTTTGTTATGTTTTACAAAGGAGATACATACTGAAATGGATAAAGTGATATGTGTGAGATTTGCTTCAAAGTAATCCAGGAGGTGGGAGGTGAGGGGTGGGTAAAATTATGGATTAAGTAAGACTGGGGCTTCATATACTTTTCTCTCTACTATGAAATTTTCCATAATAAAAAGTCATTTGTTTTTTAAAACTCACTCAATTATATATGTATACCCCAGGCCTTCTTTCTTGAGCTGAGGTTAAGGTAGCCTCAACAGGCAAGCAGTTTTTATTTCTCTGCTTAAATTCAGAATTTTCACAAGAGACAAGAGGAGAATCAAATGTTTTCAAACGAGACATAACTTCAGCATGGTTCAAGGACTTGGGGGTAGAAAGAAAACAGGCCTCAGAGCCAGGATTTGTACAGGATTCTTTAGATCAACAATGGAACAGCTGTGTGACCTCAAGCAGGTCACACCACCTCATCTCAATTTGAACATATTTGTTTGAAAAATGGATCTAAGATACCTGCCTTGCCAACTTCCAGCACTGTTATGCAAATAAAGTAAGAAAACAGATGTTCAATGGGTTTAAGGCTGATTCCCTTGGATCCTGCAGGTGTCCTGCAGATTTTTCTAGCTGACTGTGAACCTTGAGGAGGAAGTATATTTAATGCATACACAAAGGACTCTTAAGCCAAAGGTTTATGTTTGGCTGAGGAGATTTAGATAACATAATAAATAACTGATACTATTTACAAAGAGTGACAGGACAAGCTGGCTAATTTCTAAATATTGTACTCACAGCTAATTGTGAAGAAATGATTTATCTCCCTTCCTTGTTCAAGGTCCATTTAAGAAAGAGCCAGTAGTAGATATTGGATATTTGTCTAACGAAATTATCATGTTTGGTTTACCTCTATAAATGAGTCATAATATACTTGGGGAAGATAAATTCCATTTTGTGCAAAGGCATTTTGCTAAAAAATTTTTTAAAAGTTTTGAACCGTGTGCTCCATGAGCTTGGACCACTACAGGTTAAAAGCAATTTGGGGGAAAATCTGACTACAAACCAGAGAAGCCCAGCTTGTATTTTGGCATGTGCTTTTTGCAAACCTTCTTAGCTTTCCTACAGTCTTCAAATAATTCCTTTAGGAATTATTCTTAGAAAATAGATATTCTCAAGTGCTATTTTAGACTATAAAAATCAAGGTCATACTCCTCAGGGCTATATCTATGCTATCCCAATTTTTAGACATATATATATATATATCTTCCAGGTGGCTTTTTTAGATAGAAAGGCTACATTTCCTGATTTAGCACCAGAAGTAGCTGGAAGTAGGGTCGAGATGAGATTTTATTCATAAATATCTTGAAGAGTATTAACAAAACAGCCAATCTTAAGGTGATATTTTTGAACAAATACATAGTACTGGCTTATCTTAAATAAATTCTGATTTCATGACATTAAAAATTTTTAAACTCTGGATACTGTAGGCAATTTTAACCTTGATTTGCTTTGCAAAAAACCCATTTTTTGATTCAGGTTTGCTGTCTTGTAAAACTGGAGTCATAAAATTTCAATGCACCCCTTTAAAAAAAAAATTCCACACCATACCTCAAATGACCCACATTAAAAACATGATTTCTGGGTCTCAATTTCTTCTCCTGAGACACAAAAATGTTAGCATGGGTGATCTCTAAGTTTTCTTCCAAGTCATCTTTCCGTGGTTTGGCTAGTTATTGAGAGCATTGAATCTATTGAGAGAATGGACTGTTCATAAAAGGTTAATACAATCTCTAATCTACTCACAGAAAGAGGAGAATAACGGTGACTTACAGGCAAAGGTTCAAAGTTTTCATCCACTAAGTGGTAGTTTCCGGCCCCGAAGAACACTTGCCTCATCACCACCTCTATGCCCATTCTGGCCGACAGGCCCAGTTTATCCAGCCACCTGGAAGAGAGTGAGGCCCACCCTGCGTCAGGTTTGGGAAACGAAATAGCTCCAGTTTAATTATACACTTTTCTGGTTTATTCCTCCATGTGGGAAGAATTGACAGGAAACCAGAAAAGTGCTATTAATTACAAATAAGTCATTCAGATGAAACAGGCACTGTCCTACCCTTTACATGTTCCCACACATCCGCATGATAACAGATCTCAGAAGATTACTAATATGCCACAGGAGCCCCTATCAGGGTAGGACAACTTCTATATGGTGGAGTAGATAAATGCCACCCATTGGAGTAGCATAGTTGGAGACAACTATTCTGCATCCTATGGGATCCGCCCCCCACCTCCAGTCTCCGCACCCCTGTCCCCATGTGCGGTCTGAAGAAAAGGCTGCTTGTGGCCAGAGTAGTAAAATGTGAAATAAGTAGAATCATGCCCAAACCTTTATGGATACCTCCTCCCCCATCAACTTTAGTTAATGGCAAAACAAACGTCTCCATTCTTTTCTCTACTCCTCGTGCCCCCACAAGCATAAAGGATGTGTGCTTTATTCGGGCCTTATAAGGATGAGAGTAGGAGAGGAAAGAGAATAAAACTCAAAGTGAAGATATAGAACTATAGAGTAAAGGTGTTAATAGAGTCGTGGAATGTAAATAAACCAGTTGGTTTTAAAGCAATCAAGTTTGTGGTAGTTAGATAATGGGATGATTTAGCAAATCCCGAAAGTCATCGGTAGCCCCTCTGGTGTGACCACATACCGCGAGGCCCCAAACTTCTTGGGAATCTATGAACAGAGCTACAAGTGCTAAGTATCCTTCTCGGAGTCAAGAAGCACTCTTTTACAACAGCTTTAGAGAAAGGAATCCTTGACGTATCTACGGGCCATGATTGAGGAACAAAACTTCTAAAGCAGTTCATTCACGCAGTGATTAATTCGGGCATATGTTAAAATGTCCAGCCAGCTTTAGTAAATCATTTTCTTGTGAAATCTCGCACGAATCTTGGGGCTCAGCCACAGAAACTGTCTTTGACCAGATTTTTGGCTGACGAGCTATTTCAGCTGAATGGAAGACCAGGAGACTGCTGCAGCCGGACCTCTGAGCCAAGCGCAGCTTCACTCACATGAAACCAGCTGCGAAGGTGTTAGACAGCAAGGGCGCTCCACCCCCGTACGCGGAGCTGGTCTCTCCTAACCAGACCTTCTTGTGGGGTCTGGTCTCCTCAACGACCTAGAAAATGGAAAGTCCATGGTAACTGCAAACAAGCTGATCAAGTATGGTGTTGAAGATTAACAACATTCAAAACCTTGTATTCCCAGACCTACCCATCCAACACAGTTACAAAATATGTTCACAGTCATTTACATCTTGGGCAATTAGCTTTTGTTAGAATACTAGGTGTGGAAGGAATGTAAACCACCCCATTCCAATGACCTGTGAGAGATGATGCTACTGAAAGGCCACTGGAAGCATTTGTCGTTTCTAATCAGCATACGTGGGGAAGACCAGACGCTAAGGGGAACCAAAGGTGAATAAGACCTAGTGCCTGTTGTTTAAAATTGGGAAAACGGGTAAATTTACACACCTATAAAATTTAGGACTAGCTGGTCCACAAAGTAAGGACTCTGCTCTTACATTAAAAAGAAAAAAAAGACTGTTACCTGGAAAATTTTTTGCACGGATAAAATAAAAGTGTCCAATACATCAGGGTTTAGAAAATCTTCTTTGGTAGCAATCCTCCCATTCAAGTAGTAGCTAAATTATTCAGAAAATATTCAGAAAAAAATAACAAACTTTATTTCCTGCTTTTAAGTTAATTGGCTGCCCTTGCCACCTTTCTACCTCTTCTCACGCTCCTGCTATTAAAAAAAAAAAAAAGGAGGAAGTTCTACTAAGGAGAGAATAAGATGAAAGGCACCAGTTACTCTGTCTTGAGAAGACATAGTCGTAAGTGCAGGTACTAGTGGGTTATCCATCCTTTGGCAAATACATTGGTTTTAGCTACTTATTTGTTCCATGACCTAAATGATGGTTTGCCTTGATCTTGTAGAAACCACCCCATTACTTAAAATAAGTTTAAATTTTGTTTTGTTAATATTAAAATCCTAGTACGATGCTGCTTGAAACACTATGTGTTTCTTATCTGAACTATAAAGTCAGCTAGCAGTTAAATAAAACCACTTTTTAAAAAACTAGGTAATAAGTAAAACTAAGTTTACTTTCTTAGTATTAAGAGTAGGAGACATACTTACTGATGCCATGTAACTGAATCAATCACTTCTCCCCCAGCCTTCAGAAAACTAGGAAAAAAATAATCTATTATGTTGTCACTTAAACCTTATATGAACAACATTATACATGCAATATATACACAAGAGTTTTTTTTTCCCTAGAAATTGGCCAGTTACTACTTTAGGATAAGGCAACAACACAAACTTCCTAATTCTGAGACAGATTTTATCACAGGTGCCATTTGCCCCCAAATCTTTGGTATTCTGAGCTTGTCAGTGTTCCCTCTTTTGATAACCCTTCTAATCAGGCAACAAACTGTTTAATAATAGGTGGCTTATTGAGGATTCTCCACCGACAAAAAACACTATTTTTAAGAGAAGTGGTTCTGTTTCCTCTAGTTCTTACCTCTTCAGCATCTTCACAGTCTTTCCTCGAGGCTGGCCAACATCAGGACCATAGAGTTTTGCATTTTTGAAAGCAGATTTTCCTAGAAGTTTATGCAACTCAATAAAATCTTCTCCTAATTGCAATCCATCGATGAAAATACCAGCCTTCTTCCGGAAACTGTTAGGTTCTGAAAGATAGCAATTCTCAAAATAATTGCTTACCTAGACTTTTTTTATTTAGAAGCAAACATAAAAACAGTATCTAAGAGAAAAAGAGAATTTTTCATATTACAAAAGCTTAGAATTTAAAGGCAAGGAAAGTAAAACGTCTAGTTATAAAGAAAATATTCTAGGAAAACAAAAATTTAAGTTATATAACTGAAGTATGAGGAGGTAATAAAACAGTTTGGAATTAATAATGGGAATATTAAACCAATGGATATTCTCGGACTAGTCTGTATCCAGTATTTAGTTAATTTAGTTAAAAGATTATGTAGGGAGAAGTCATTTAAAAACCAAATACCAAAAAATAAGTAAAAAAACCCCTAATTACCAACCACCCTCCCAAAAAAGAGCGGGGGGCATAGCTTGGTGGTGGAGTGCATGCTTAGCATGCGTGAGGTCCTGGGTTCAATCCCCACTACCTCCATCAAAAAATAAATAAAAACCTAACTACCACACTCCCCCCCCGAAAAACCCCAAAACAAAACAAAACAAAAAAACCCAAACCAACACCCCCCCCTCAAGAAAAAACGATTACTACAATGTAATTAAGTCTTACTGAGAATGTTTATTCACAGATATGTGCAAGTGAGTCTGGAAGCAGCAAAGCTGAAGAGACGGGAGGGAAGCATGGAAAGTGTCCAGTCTACTTCCCCACATTACCTTACCCTTCTCCTTCACCCTGAAATCAGACCTTCTCTTTGTAAAATGGGGCCCACATGATGACATGACTCTTTTACTCTGAAGAGCAGAAGGAGCTGGGGATGAGTAGGGTAGAAAAGTAGGGAGGGAGGGATGCACAGGGATGGGTAAGGATGGGTTCAGACAACCTATTATTCATGTAGTTGCTGCTGTGAAGTTGTTCATCTCTAAGATATGGTTGCCTCTGCCCTTCCTTCTATTTTGTTTTCAGGGCTTCAGCTTGCCAGTTATCCTCAGCATCCTGATCCCCAAATCTGCTGCTGGACTTTATCATTCACATACCACTATGGACATGTATCACTTCTTTGCTTGTTTTCCCGTCCGTCTGGCTCCTACCTCCGGAACAGAAGTCTCAAGAGAGCAGGGACCTCGTTCTACAGCCAGACTGCCTGGGTTCAAATCCTAACTTCTCTTAAGATTCCTGTAACTAATAATTGCCCAGCATCACACACCTAGTTAGCTAACCTTTTTGTGCCTCTTTTGTCATCTATGAAATGAAGGTCATAATAGTGTTCACCTCGGAGTGATTGTAAAGAAAAAATAAGCTAATGCTTATTGAATGCTCAAAACAGTGCTTGGAATATAGTATGTGCACAGACACTACTCCCTCTCACTTCCCACTTTATCGTCATTCCCATTGGCTGATGTGTGAACAAAGCACGGTAAATATGTTTGAATGAATGTGGCTAGTCATTAACACTTTAGTTAGAGTTTATAAATAAATTTCTTGTGAAAAAGAGTGAAGAAGGAGACAATCAAGAGCTCGACCCAGGTAGGATTCTATACTGGAACTTCCAGCTTGAACCTATCATGAGTGTTGGGATGGGGTTGTTAAGACTAAGACAAGCTGAGAACAGAGGAAGGAGGGGAAGGGTAAAAGCAAACTGCTGAAGTCTAATCTGTCAAGCGTAAGAGGACTAAGTGACCCTGAAGATCTCAAGGGAACCTGCGAGCTGTGGAAGTGCTCAAATGTGATGGAAGCTGGGCTAAGTGATAGGAATCAGGATACAGAAAGGAGTTTTCTGCCACAAGTCATTCCAGACTCACACTGTTGAGCACAAATATTCCAAGGCAAATGATATATTTGCTAATATTAAAAAGAAAGTCATAAATAGGAACAAATAATACCAAAGGGGAATCTCCTTATAAATGAAATGGGGGTGGGGGACACTTACCATTGCCTAGTTCCCAAGAAATGTTATAACCCTTGGAAGAGCAGTAGTCCAGGAGCACCTGAGCATTGGAACTGTTCCAGTGCAAATCTGCAGTTCGCAGTAATGCATTTAGACCAAAGATCAAGTCCAGGCCTGAGCAATTGGCAAAACTATACAGCATATCCACTGAGCTTCCTAAAAGAAAAATGTTGCCATTTCATGATTAGGTCGATACCACAGTGATAAAGATCTCCAGATTTGCTCTTTGTAATGAATTACTATTTCTGTTGTTAAATGGAAGGAATTCCAGTCCTTTTGGGGACCTATGATTATGAATGAGTCAACAAAATTGGATTGGCAAATTAAAAAAAAAGCACAACAATGTGACTTTATTTGCTTCAGCTGTTGAATCAAGTCCCATAGAAGGTACAAGAGGCTTTGGTCTGGCACTTGGGTTTTGTTCACGTGACCTCAGGTGAACTCAGGAAACTGCAGTGTGTGACTCAGTGCTCAACACACACAGGCCAGACTTTCATTAGTCAACACAAACCCTGCTCTTCATAATCTAAAAATCTCTGCTCACAAACTCAAACATAAAAATAGCTTGGTAAATTTCTTTACATTTGAAACTTAAAAAAATTCAAGTATATAATATATTAATTCAAAATGAATGGAATTTTACATTTAAAAAGTGACCTAGGGCTCTAGGGCTGTGGTTTCCAAACTCTGTGCTGAGGTGCCCTGGGGAGTGAATTCACTGGTGTGGCTGGTCATCAGACTTGGCAAATAAAAACACAGGGCACCTAGTTAAATTTGAGCTGCAAATAAATAATAATTTTTTAG